TAAAGTGTCAGGGGACAGTTGAGGGGACATGTGTGACGGGGACATGAACTTGGGGCCTGAGGCTGGAGAGACCCAGGCTCAGGAGTGACTGAGGTCCTAGCAGCAGACAAGAAGTCCGAAGTGTTACAGTGACTGTGGCCGGAAGCTTAGGGGGTGATTCCCGGAAGAGATGGCAGGACTTGGGGGAAGAGTCAGGAGTTAGCAGGTCAGACTCCCAGGGGAATGGGGACTTGGGGGTGAGTGATGAGATCACTGCCAGAGTGGTCCAGGGGGTGGGGAGTACAGTGCAACAGCCATGTTGAGGCTGGGTGCCCCCTCTGACAGGTCTACACTGAGACACACGGAGCCACTGAGCTACATCCCCAGCACGACCCTCCCTTTTTTTTGCCAACTTTTTGAGACAGTTTCATGATTGCCCAGGCTGGGGCTGAACTTGTAATTCTGCCACCTCAGCCTCTCAGAGTGCTGGGACGCCTGATGCACACTGCTGCACCCTGCCAAGAGAGGGGTTTTGAGAAGCATGAAGCATGGGGATGGATGAGGACAGCCTGCTATCAGGAAAGGGGGGGCAGGCTGGCCCTGCCTCTGACAGGTGAGGGAGTCACCTTCCTCCGTGGAGGTTTATGGGACCCTGTCCTTCTGGAAGACGCTGGAACGGCTTTCTAGAGGATACACTTCATGGAGGGAAAAAGCAATTAGAACAACACTGAGCTCAAGGCTTACGGTGCTTGCTATATTCTGCTACTTTAAGTCAAGGCATAAGGGTGACAGTGGATGAGGGTCAGGTGGCACAGCCTGGGGTGCTGTGCCCCTGGCTTTCCTGAACAGGGAGCCTGTCATATTAGATCAGCCACCTGCAGGCTGGGTGGGATGGTAGACTTGACACCCACTCCTCTGTGCATGGCCCATTCCCACAGTGTCTGGAGATGCTTATGGGGCCTGTGCCACTCCTCTCCTTGGGGCCCTGTGCACCTCTTTGCAAGGCGTCTTCAGCCAATTTCCCTTCTCCTGTGGCAGCACCTCTTGGCTCCTCTTTTGCCCTAGCATAAAAGCATAGTGTCCACGCTTGCTGGCCCAGCTAACTCGACAAGTCCATGATGTTCTGCCATGCATCTCCCACTTACACCCCTCCTTACCCTCATCTTTCCCTTCCTGTCTATCTGGCATCTCAACCTTAGCGAGCCTAAACCAAAGCCTGACCTAAGTCAGCCTCCTCCCAAGAAACCTGTTGTCTAGGGGCCCAGGCAAGGCTGCTGCCAGTGGTTCAGACCAAAGCTCGGGACTTATCTGCAGTTCCATCACTTCACTGCACTGCTCTGCACTTCTGGCTGCACCTTCCAAACAGACCCAAATTCTAGCCCCTTTCTACCACGGCCACCACCTGGTCTCCATTACAGCTGCCTCTTGTCCCAGAGATGGCAACAGACTGGTGCTACCCATGGTCTAGTCCTGGAGCAGCAGGCAGAGGGAGAGAGGCTTAGACCAAGTGTGGCCAGACATCCTCGGCTAAGCCTTCCAGTGGCTCCCTTGTACAGGGTGAAAGCCAGAGCTCTGCAGGGCCTACGGGGCCACGGAACTCTGCCTTTCCCTCAGCTCTCTGCCCATCCTTGCTCACACTGCTGCAGCCATACTGGCTTCCTTCCAGACACGCTGGCACCATGGGACCTTTGCCCTGCTGGGATGCTTCTTCCTTTGGCACCTGTGTGGCCTGCTCCCTCCCCTCTGTTGAGGCTGTGCTGATGCTAGGTTCTTAGACTGCTGACCCTGACTGAAGTTTTATGCCTCACCTGCTCTTCCTTCTCTCCTTGCCTTATTTTTCTCCCACAACACAGATCACCTTCTAAGCCACCCTGAGCCTCACTTATTTATTACGTCTTTTGTCTATCTTCTCCTACTGGAAGGTGAGTTCCTGGTTTGTCCCCAAAGGACAGGGCAGTGGCACACAGTGCAGCGGATTCTAACAGCAGGGGCATCTGTCTCCTCTAGCTAGAAAGCAGAGGGTTCCCAGGACTTTAGGGTCTCTGGAGTGGGGGCAGAGCTGGCCAGGAACAGGCATCTGGGGCCTGGTATGGAGACACTACCACCTGGTAAGCACTTGATCCACATTTGGCCCTGCCCAGGTCAGACCTCAGATCTGCCAGTGCCACAGCCCAGGGTCACTCTGTACCCACGCCAATAAGTGCACACCTCACCCCAAGCCTGGCTGTGGATGGTCAATTACACAAGAATCCTAGATGTCACACAGAAGGAACAATTTCACCTAGCATACCTGCCCTCCAGATCCAAATCCCCCCCCCGGAGATTGGGCCTTCATTCTGAACTACATCCCTAGTTACTAAGTTGCCCAGGTTTGGCTTGAACTTCAGATCCTCCTGCCTCAGTCTCCCAGAGTGCTAGGATAACTGATATGCAACACCACGCCTGGCTCTACTCTGCTGCTCTTATCAGTCACACAGTGGAGGCAGTGAGACGTCTTACTCCTCCTTCTCTGGCACACTGCTTGTTCCCAGCATGCAGTTCTGTGGCGGACTGTGCTACTCAAACTTGTGGCCATGTCAGGCCCTAGCATTGGCTCTCTAGGTAAGCTGAGAAGTGCCTGGTTTGGAGGGTAGATTCCAGAAGATCCAGGGGGACTTCCTGCACTGGCACTCTCCACCTGAAGGAGCTGCTCTAGCGACCAAAAGACAATGAAATGACACTTATCAACTGCAACCAACATGCATGGAGACACTGCTCAGCAGTTTCTAGGTGTGTCCCTCAGTTCTCCCCTAAGCGCTTGTTAATCTTTCCTTTGCACAGAGATAGGGATTAAACCCAGGGCCTTGCAGGTGCTAGGCAAGTACTCAGCCACTGAGTGAGAGCACAGCGCTGGCTTGGCATTCTTACAGTCCCCATTACAGATGGAGACTCCAAGGCCAGGAAAAGATGTCCTGAGTGTCAGCTGAGACTTGTCCAAGGTGATCAGCTGGTAGGAGACCACTGGGTTTCCTAAGCAGCACCTCATGACCACAGGCCTGACTTCAGTGCCTCCCTGCACAAGAAGTGGTCTTCAGACCTCATTCTCTGTGGCACCCACCATGGCCCCCAAGAGAGCAGCTCTGCTATGACTTGTTTGTACATTTTTTGTTTGGTTTGGTTATTTTGTACTAGGTCACACTGAACTATACCCCTAGCCCTTTAAAAAAAATTTTTTTTAAAAAAAATTTATGACAGGATTTCACTAGGTTGCTAAGTTGCCCAAGTTGGCTGAACTTGTGATCCCCTTGCCTCAGCCTCCTAGAGTACTGGGATTATGCCACCTTGCTGTGTCCAGTTTTACTTGTGGGATACAAGGCTCTTCCTGTTGACATTCTAAGAGTCTGAGCTATTTGGAAAAGGCAGAAATTCAGCAATGCTTGGTCAAGGCCAGTGCAGGTTATGTCTCCCACTCTGGTACAGCAAACTGCTCCACACTGGGTGGTCAGGCTGGAATCAATGGCCTGCAGGCGGGGTCACTGCTATGTTCCAACAGTTTCTAGAGTTTCCAAGCTCCCTGGGTGGCTGGGCAAGTCAAGGGCCAGGCCTCTGCCATCTTGTGGGAACCAGTGGCAAGTGCTGGGGGACCAATGGGGACCAGCAGGCTGCATGCACCCTAAGCTGAAGTGCTATAGGACCATGGAGGAGCCACAGCCCAAGGGGACAGTGGAGGTCCTGGGGGGCACAGGCAGACAGAATGCTTGCAGGGAGCTCCTGGGTTCCAGCATGCCACACTGTCACACAGCCACCTGCTAAACTGCAACTGTGTCTCCTTGGAGCACTGAAGTTCACAATTTTTGCAGAATCACTTAGCAGTGGGGAAGGCAGAAGGCCCCGGGCCCGGAGACTGAGCAACTGGCCTGGTGTAGGGCGCCCTCCAGTGATAGACACAGGGTGAATTCTGTTTCCTTTCTCTGCTAGCCCTGGTTTCCAGATCATTGCTTCCATCTGAAGGGCTGGTACTGGGAGATAGCCCTAGCAATACCCACATCCCAGAGTGGTTGTCTCAGTCTCGTGCTGAGTCTTCCTGGAGGCAGGAGTGAACTAGCTTCATCCAGAGAGGGCTCACAATTATGTATCACACAAGGGAGCTTCACATTCTAAAATCTCCAAATTATCACACAACCAAATAACCCACCCAGAATAGTTGCACATCACATGGGTAGCGATTCCTTTTTTACCCAGTACATCACAAGAACCATCCCGAATCACACACATGTGCAGAGCCTCACAGCCAGCTCTGCAGGGCTTTGGTACCTCTCCCCCAGCACCAGCCAGAGAGAGGGCCCACCTCAGAAGCCCCATCATTGCAGAAACCCGCAGCCATCATCCCTCCTTCCTCTTCCCACTCCCTTGCCAGTGTTAGTTGGCACTCTTGGCTTTACTTCCTTCACATCAGCAGACAGGGACAAAGCTAGACATTCCTGCAATAGGTGAGGCCAGGCTCCCGACCAGGTCCCGCAAGCCCCAGTTCCTGGGCAGCTACCATCACCCCAGTACTAAAGTCAGCCAGGCAGGCCACCATTCCTAGTCCTCACAGCACGTTAAAGGACAGGTAACGATATCTACATTCGACAGACAAGGAAGCAGATGCCAATAAGGGGAAGTGCACAAGTTCAAGGGCACACGGACAGTTAGGGTGACAACAGCAAGCGGGAAAGCAGGCCCTTAGGGAAGGCTTCCGAGGACAGAGACCCGAGGAGGACAGGCAGCCAGCGCCCACACTCCTGTATCCTGTGCTTTTGCCAACACCTGCCCAGAAGCCACACGCTAGAGGTAAGTACGGGGGAGAACAGCCATTCTTGAGGTGCCCCTGAGACCCAAATGAAAGTGTTTGCTGCTTTTCCTCAGGCCAGAGTACTTTATTTTTGTTTTTTATCGGTACGGGGATCGAACTTATGACTGTGCGCTTGCAAGGCAGGCACTTATGCTGCTGAGCTAAATCCCCAGCCCCCAGAGTACTTTAAATAAAAACAACCCACACATTATTGTGTTTGTATAAAAGATATTTACTTCAATTATCACACCTAGGGTGCTAGTGAATAATAATAATACATGGTGTGAGTTTCAGTGATATTGCTTCTCCATATCATATAGGGACCGTTGTACAGTGCTGAGAACAAACATCGTATGGCTAACCAAAGACAGAAGGGACGACGCTGAGGGGCCGACGGGTGTCTTCCCCACCCCCACGCCAGCCAGATCAACTTTGACTCTGAATGTGGAAAACAAGTAGCAAGAACTAAAATGTTATCAGAGATGAGTCACAGCGACAGAGGCTTCTCAAAGCTATTTGTACAAAAATGACGCCTTTTATTTCCTCTCTCTTCTTTTTTGGTCAATTGGGTCTTTGTGAGGATTAAGGGGAAAAAATCTGTGATTGTATTAACAAACAAGTTCTAGAAAACATCTAAGACTTAGTGCGTTACAGAAAATATAAAATACTGCTAAAATGTAAGACACCACAAAGCACTGCGAGCTGAGCTTATGAAGGGCCGTCTGCAGAGGTCACCGCTTGGTGACAGAGTCTTGTGCTGTGTGTTAGTAGTCTGGACAGGAGCGTGGCGCTACCCGCTCTCACCGCAAGTAGTTATTGCACAAATGCAAAGAGCTAGGTCTCTTACTCCATGGGAAGGGATGTGGGGGAAACCATCTTGTCTTTTTCCTCACTTCTTTTTTTAATAACAAACTATTCTCAAATGCTTTAAGAATTTTGAATGAATTCTCACGTCTCCAAAATGCACAGCATTTTCTGAAAGGTCTTAAGGGGTGGGAACATGAGATGCCTGTTAAAAGGCAGAAAATGGGGGTGTGAGGGAGGAAGGGAAGGAAAGAGAAATGCATAGACTAATAAGAAAAAAATGAAAACCCTTTGGGGAGATGGAAGAATCACCTCAATGGAAGGCTTTTTCCCCCCAAAGAGATAGGAACATAATTGGGACCCCAAAGATTTCTGACAAGGGGACAAGTCACAGCAGGGAGGAAATGCTCTGCCATATGGGTCTGGGGTAGGTGACCCTTTTGGGGCAGAGGCAGTAGTCCAGCCTGCCTTGGGGTGGGCAGGGCCCCCAGGGAGGTGGAAACTCCTCACCCCATGCCTGGGGAGCAAGCAACTGGGTGTTTTTGATGGCTGTGCTTCTAACCACAGTTAAGTTCTTTTGCCGTATCCAGGCTTCTTCCGTGTTTCCCTCGCATTGGAGGGAAAGGGGCTCAGGCTCGTGATTTCCCAGCTGAGCCCTCTAGCCACTGACAGCGCTAAAAAACACCTGTCACTTCACAGGATGCTTTTGACCAACTTTGTGTGCCAGGACAAGGACAACAGAAACCAACTAAAATATAGCAACCCGTGCAGACCTGGCAAGAAACCATATTCCTGCTCAGAGGTGATGGTCTCGGTTCGACCGCTGTACTTCTCTGACCAGGGCTCACTGAACCTTCATGAACCCAGAAGTCTTAACAGAGGCTCTAGGAGGCTTTGGGGAACTGAACTTGGCTTTCCTGTTTCCTCTGCAGCTCCTCGTGAGCAATCTGCTCCTTGGCACTTCCTGCCCGTGGTAGCTTTTCATTCACCAACTCTCATTTAAACAGTTGAGACCACCAGTTTTTGAGTGGCTACTCAGGAGACAGGTGTTTGACTCTGCTGGAGAGCCCCTCCTCCTACTGCCCCTCCCCCATGCAAATCCGCAGGTTAACTTTTTTGGGGGGGGGCGGAGCAGAGGACAGTAACCACTGGAGTGAAAGCAAAAAGCATTCACAATGACAGCAATACAAAACAACACACTCCTGATAAGTACTTAAATGATTAACCTAACAATAAATAGAAGAGGATAGACATTTTTTTTTCTTTTCTTTTTTTTTTTTTTTTTTTAAAAGGAAACAACCTTTTATAACCATCCTCACACACACTGTTGGGTCAGTAGCAGTCAATCCGTCTCAACAAGACAAGGTTAAGTGCTGGAAGGAATGGTTGTGGTCTCAGATACTCAGGAAGGCTCGCAGCTGCTCAGTTACAGGCGTCCTGACCTTGCTGCACCCAGGCTGGCACATTCTGGCCAGAGCCCATGGGCTCTGTATGCTCAGCTCAGCAGGGGCAGCTGGGCCACTATAGGGGCCGCCAGCCCTGTTTTCCCTTCAGTTCACGAACACACGGAGCTACAGTGAACACAACTCAGCCACAACCTGAATCATCCTGGTCTAAAGCTTACTTTGAGTTCATTTGGTGTGCAATGCGCTATCTTTCAAAAATGAACAAACATTATTTCTATTGCACAGAGCTTTTACACATAGTCATCTATTTAAGTGCTTTCTGTTTAAAGCAAACTACAAAATAAAAAATTGGGGAGGGGAGGAAGGAATTCTAAAACGAAAAACAGCCCCTTGCCACCTCAGTGCGTCTTGCTGTATTGTTTTGCTAATGGAAGTCCCAATGCTTCCGTACACTGTGCTTCTGATTATTTTCCATAGGGATAGGACTGTGACATTGGGATTTAAGGCACCTTTCCTTTCTGATCTCAGAAAGCTTGATACATAGCATACAGCATATTTTGTGGTAAAAATTAAAGCCCAAACACTAAAGAAATTACAGTAACACAGACTACCAACTCCTTAACATTATGAGGAAATGAAAATGATCCATTAAAGGCATTTAAAAAGTTGAGTAACAGGGAAGGGGAAGTGTACATTTATGCATAGCCTAACGTCTTTTTCTCCCTAGCTTTTCTTCAGGATTCTTTGCCTATGCCGAACTTTAAAAGTTAGCATTCTGGAGGAGACCAGGCGCTTTGGAAATGTCTTGTTAAAGCTAAATGTCACTTCATCCAAAAATGAAAATTTGAGGTGCCACTGATGGCGTGGACATGGGATCTTTGGAGAGGTGATGGCAGAGGAAGGGTGGTGGGTGCAGAGTGGGTGGGGGTAGGTCTCAGGAGTCAGGTAGTTGGGAGGAAATAGCTTTTTCTTTTACTTCCCCGATTAGGCACACAGACTGCCAGGGCTTTTGGGCCCAGGAGTCATTTTATGGTGGCTTGTTGCTCCCTCCTCTTCTTGCATCTTGATTGATCCCCCTGGGTCTTGGCCCTTAGCTTTCAGCTCATCTCAAAGGATTTATAGACTGGATCTTTTTTGGAATTTTACTTGGAAATGTTTTCCTGGTAGTTTTCATCTACAAAAAAGGCAAAATTGATGGGAATGAAAATGACTGTCAAATTGGACCTCTCTCTCAGCATGCAAGTATGCTAGCCAGACTGGCTGAATGCCCACTGGGAGATACAGCTGAACCATGTTAGAACTCTGGGTCACCACTTGGCCAGGTAGGACAGGAGTTTTGCCTTGGTGGTCATTAGGCTTAATATCAAGGTCCCAGTGAAACCACAGCAGAAGCACTACAGGGATATCCAAGTGAGCTTCTCCTGGTAGGTGCCCAGTAAATGAGGACAACACAAATCCTTAGCACGGTCCCACTGCCTATCATAACACTCTGGCCACCATAGTGGGTGGACTCATCTCCAACTAGCAGCCCTAGGAGCTGGTTGTTTTTGACACTGAACAGAAACTAGAAAATTCTTTTAGGAAGAAAAGAAGACCTGACTGGCAGGCTGCAGAGAGCCCTATGTCCTCTTCTGTCCTTAAGATATTTGATGCCTGCCAGAGAGTTCTGAGGCCCAAGTCATGATCCCAGCATGAGACAACAGACACGGAAGCTACAGAGTTGCTGGGGAAGCATGATCATGTGGCTGTCTGGGACAGCCCAGGACAACAGGGAAGGCTGAGACAGACCTCAACAGCTGTGCAGAAATGTGCAGGACACAAAGGCAGACCAAAGACAAGACCAAAGACAAGGCCTGAGATCACCCCTGCCTACAAAGAGAACAGCTGCAGGAACTTAGGAGAATAGTGCCAAGAAAAGCCATGTCTTACAGGGCCAGGCGTTTGGTCATATCACGCTCACAAGGGACAAAGCCTACCAGGCTGAGAGGCTCGTGTCTGCTATTCTTCAAGCTCTTTTACCTCCTAGCCCACTTGGCCTTGAGAAGTGACATCAAACAGACCACAGGTGAGGTAGAAGGGGACAAATGAGGAGTGTGAAGATGAGAGGGGACATCCAGGAAGGGACAGGAGCATGCCAGCAGTGAGAATATGTCCAGCCTAAAGTACTGTAGCTAAGAGCCCAGCAAGCTCACTATGTATCTTTAGCCTCTTGTGTTGCTCTTTCTCCTGCATAGCCGGTTTGAAGGAGGCTAGCCTTAGAATGACTAAGGGCAGATGCTTGTTTCTGTAGGTACCTGTTAAGGCAAAGGCTCATGCTGTGGTCGGTGACTAACTCCATTTCATTTTGTGTTAATCCCAGATGGGCATGTGTAGATCCCTGTGGCTCCTCTGCTATTTTCCAGGTAGATTTATTTTTCTAAAAGCAGAGGAATAAAAGCCATTGCACAGACTGTCCAGAGCTCATTGATCACCCTGGCATGAAAAGATGTGAATTCCAGAGGAACACAGACATCCAAGTCCAGCTGCAGCAGGAAAGGAACCTGCCTACAGCTGGGCTTGCTGGTAACTTTAGTTCTCATGTGAGGGCAGGCCTGTGGCAGTCCAGAGCTTCTCCTCCATGTCACATACAACCTACTCTCTGCTTGGTTTGCTCATGAGCAGCACTATGATCTTAGCCCTGGCCAGGAGGCAGACATGGTATAAGTATGGGCCATGTGGATCTGCGGAGTGCTGGGGGTCAGGGAGGGTCTCTCTTGGCCACGACAGGAGCAAGGAAGAACACCAATCCCTAAATTTGCAATGTGCCTGTACCACCAACCAGAGCCACATCTGATAATTTTTTACATGGGGGGGAAGTACAGAGGCCAATAGAAAGGAAGTTGGGCAGGAAGGTGTTTGTGCTTCAGAGGCACAAGGAGCTGTTCTAGGGAGGCTGAGAGCTGTCATCTTTTGTCTTGATTGCTTTCCCAGAGCAGCATGCTTTGCAGTAGTCCTATGAGTCATGATCTTGGCATTTCTTGGAGATTTCTAAACCTATGTCCCAGGGCACCTGCCCCAGGATGGACACAGAAGCCACCTCATGTCATAAGGCTCCATAGGCAGGCTGCCAAGAATAAGCAAGTTAAGTGGCTATGCAACCCTTTCTAAAGAAGGTAAATCTAGTGGATAAAATCAGACATGCTGACTGATCAAGAAGTTCCAGAAAGGAGGTAAACCAGGGAGCTAGGCTGGGCCAAAAGTGAGGAGATAGGGGTCTAGGACAGAACCACACATCTCAGATATCACAAGAGGACTTGGGCAGGAAGCAAGGGTCAAGAGGCCAGATGCAAACACCAATTTGATACTGGGCCCCCATTTAGCTAAGTAATGGCAGAAACCTCCAGTTATAGATGATGTCTCCAATTATCAAAAAGGAAGCTGTTTAAAATGGTATAATGGAGCTTGGAATAATTAAATGTTAGTGTTTTATATGGAACTGTTTCCCCTGGGGAGAGGTACAAATCAGCTTTTTAAGCTGACCGAGGATAAAGAGGAGGGGATTGGCTGCCTGTGGAGCTGCTGCTTGGATGGCCAGCCAGTGGAAGGTAACCACTTGGAGGGGGTGCTGTTCAAGGCACTTGAATATTGCTTATCAAGGATGAAAGATGAACCCTTGTACTCAAACTGAGGGGCCCAATGAGGAGGGGGCTGCTCCCCCTCCACAGGTTTCTGTGTTACTTAGTGACAGATCTTAGAAGTACTACAGATAGTGCTAGCTTAACACAAAAGATCATAAGGTTGGGATCTCAATAAAAACAAATAAATAATAAAAAATATAAAACAGATCCGTTCACAAGCAAAATCTAACCCACTGATTGTATCGAGCACTCAGATGTAAGTCTGGCATAAAAGACAGAATGAGGATGAAGTCAACAATAACCCAGTTCAAAAGCAAAGAAGCACAAAATGAAAAACAAATCAATTGCTTGGAAGAGCCAAAGTGGCTGTGGTAGACTGCTACCATTTGGCTACGAGGATAGACAGATCTAGATTTTTCCAATTGCCTCAGATTTAACACCTTGGTAAGTAACAGTCATGTCTTTGAAAGTAAAATACTAGCCTAACAGTTAACTCCCTGCTTCTCATTCTAATGAAAATTAGGTATTCAGAGGTTCATCACACATGATGACAAAGTTCCCTTGAGGTTTTTGTGGAGACGACACCACAGTACCATCAGTGGCTCTGCCCTTCACTGTCCTAAGGGTCTCTGGTGTGAACTCACTCTTCGCAGGGCACCTGCAGCCAGCCAGATGTTAATCCGCTTCCCCTTAAGCGCCTCCATTGTGGATTCTCTTCTCACTGAACCGAGATGTCAAGTTCAGATATAATGCAACCATCCAAAGACAAACAAAGGGTCTGCCTCCCAGCCTCCTAGAGCCTCCTGAGAACTTCTTATTCATGAAAAGGCATTGTCTTTAGTGTAGTGACTCTTAAATTTGTGAAAACTTGAACTAAGTGCTGCAGTTGCAGGTTAAAAAGACTGTAAATGAAATACATAATTTCTAAAACATCATGCAAGAAATGTGGTTTCACATCTTACAGTCAAAGTCCTACAAGTTAAGTAATAACAAGCACACTGAGGTGTAATAGTGGGAGCATACCTTTAAAATTAGAACTCCCTCCCACCCCCCCAATCAAAAAAGTAATATTAATTAAACTTAAGAAATAATGAATGCACCATTAAAATGTCATCCAAAGATGTTGACCTAAGACAAAGGTTTCAATGATACACAATACGGTCAAAAAGTTTCAATCAGTAATATACAGTATGACAACTACATCTTGTAAATTATACCCAATACTGCCGGCAGTCTATCCCTCTAAAGAATATTTTGCCCCTTTCATCCCTTCCTAACAATCAGATAATAAAATACAGCACCTATAAATAAGCAAAAAAAAAATATATATATATACCGAAATCATCTATTGTTAGTTTAAAGATATGGCAATAAAGGAGTCTAAATTAGCAAACTTGTAGAAGCCATAACTGATAAAACAGCTTATTGAAAAAGGTGGCAGTAATGCACTCTATGTGTGCACAGGTACTTAAGAAAATACACAGACTTATAAAATTGCACACACGCACGCACGCACACTCTCATCCACCTCTGTTCTCACGCATATACACATAGACAACAGGAGGAATCAGAGACAAGTTAGACTTCTGATTGGTACTTAGACTGCCCTAAACTGTGCATAAAAGAACTTCCCAAGAGGTGAAATGAATGAAGGGCCAATGGTCTGGTCTGGAAGTGAAGAGTGGTCAACGTTTTGGTGAGTTTGGGCCATCTCTGCAGGGTGGGAGCGGGGCCCAGACTGTCACGTCCTCTCTTCTGCAGGGAAGGAAGCTTCCCACGAGTTCAACAGGATCATCAGTGCTTGTGGTGGGAAGAAGGGGAAGAGGGAGTGCGCGTGTGCACCAGCCCTGCCCAGGCCCAGGGAGCATCTTCCCCGGGGGGCTCAGTCCATCAGATGCCCAGGAAGAGTGGTGTGAGGTGAGGTGCCTTCTGTGCCAAGGAAAGATAGGGTGGGGCCGCTGTGCCCCAGGACTGCTTGCCGTGACCTTGCTGGCCTACTCTTTCCTGCCTTTTAATGCTCGCACATGCGCGGACGCACGAACACACACGGAGACACCATAAATTAAACAAAATGACGGGTGGGTACATGCTACAGTTCTAACTTGTCTCCTAAACCTCCGAGATATGAGGTCTGATCAGCGTGCTCTGCGGTTAGAGGTTAAAAAGCAGATTATAAAATACCTAGATTCGGATCTTTTCTTTTTGTCCTGATTTGGCCTAGAATGGAGTGTATTAAACAAACCCTGGGCAGCAAAAGCCCCGGGTCAGTTAAAGCTATGGATCAATGTGCACTACATGTCAGGATTCTATTCACGTACAAGAAAACACTACATCAGCTACCACAAAAATCAGATAAGTTTCCTGATGTGACTTTGTTTTGTTAAAAAATATGTGGAGTAAATGCGTTCTTATTTTAATTCAAAGTTTCAAACAAGAAGATTCTTTTCTTGAAAATATTTAGGAATCCAAACTAGTGTGTTTAGAGTCGGTTTGACTGTGCAATCTCTTAGTGGCAACTGAACAGCTACAAAAACTTTCTTTTTTAATTTTTTTTTCTGAAAAATCCCCCTCCCCCCTTTTCCTGGTTTAAGAAGATAATAGTGTATTATCGCTCTGAAGCCATTAGATGGCAGATAAAAAGCCCCCTTTTAATATGTGGGTTTGATTTCTTTTCTTTTCTTTTCTTTTTTAGCCCACACGAAAGAGGAGGGCACAAGGCAAAAGCTGTAAGACTTATTCCAGAACCTGTGGAAATCACTTTAGGGCAATTAAAAAAAAAAAAACACTTTAGGGTACAAAAAAGCTGGACTACACATTTTCCGTTTTCTTCCTTGAAAACACGACATAGATTGGGCTTAATGCTCCTTTGTTTTCTATATGCACCTTGGCCTATGGCGATTTTGCCCTGTGGCCCGCAGGGCTAAGTGCGCAATGCGGGGCTCTGGCCTCGGCCCACGGCGGCCCACGGGGCTGGCCTGGACCGACCCAACCAGACCCGACCCGGTGCTCTTGCCGGCCCAGCCCGCGCCCTCAGAACTCCCATTCGATGGGCTCCTCGCGGCTGGCAGCCTTCTCCAGGCGGTGGATGATGCTGTTCAAGTTGGCGGCCTTCTTCTTACGCACAGGGTTGTCGTGCGGGTCCCGGGCACCCGCTGCCTCAGGCAGGCCGAAGAGGCTCTGCAGCGAGCGGGGCCTGCGCGCGGCCGCGGGCGCGCTCCCGCCAGTGCTCGTGCCCGTGCTCGTGCCCGGCGAGGCAGGGCTCCCGGCGGCGGCTGAGGTAGCGGCGTCCTCCCCGGCTGCTGCGGTGGCGGCGGGCGCGACAGGCGCGGCCGGGTTTGGCACGGGCGCCAGGCGCTCCGCTGGACTTTCAAGGGGCAGTGGAGGCGGCGGCGGCTCCGCCCGGCCCGCGTCCTCGGCAGCGCCGGTGTCGTCCGGGCCCGGCGTCCCCGCTGGCGGTGGCCCTTCCTCGCGCTCCGCCGCGCCCGGCCCTCCCTGAGACTTAGTGGCGGCTGCGGGGCCGCCTGGCTCTTCTGCGTCGGCGGTGGCGGTGGCGGTGGCGGTGGCGCCTGGGCCCTCGGCAGCCTCCACGCCGTCGCAACTGTCGCCCTCTGAGCTGGGTGCGGCGCGGCCACTCCGCGCCGATGGTGAGTCGCTGGCGGCGGCCTGGCCCTGGCTTCCAGCCTGAATTTCCTCAATGAACAGTTCTCTGCGGATCCGAGACCTGCAGGTGACAGAGGCGGGACAGGTATAAGGCCCTCGCGTGCATGGCCAGGCTCTCCCGTGCCCGCTGCCTGGCTCCGTCTCCTGGGTACCGGGCATCCAGTCTCTGGGTTCCTGTCTACCACCATCGGCCGCGCTAGTTAGTATTGGGATATTTGCAACATCCTCCTCTCCACCATGCACAAGGTGTCATCAAAAAATATGGTGAATGTGTAAGTTAAGAAAGTAATGATTACAGTAAAAGACACTGCTGTAGGTCCCTTCTTCCCTTGTTTTGAACACACTTACCCCACTGTCATTGGCACTTTCTGAAGCAGTTCTGGATGGTCTTTCATGTCTCTTAGTTGTGCTATCGTCGCTGCCTCTATATCCAGAATTGATTCAAAGTGAAAACTAAATTGATCTTTTATTTCTATGGTCGTTTTGACTTTGGGCAAGAGCCAGAAGTCCACCATGCCAGATCCAGTGAATAAGGTTGATAAGGATGCACTGTAATGCTTTCTGATGGACGGCAGCAGCATTTACCATAGTTTTGATTATACCTCCTAGACTCATGAAAGAGGACTTCCAGAACGGCTTCAGAAGGTGGCAAGCATAATGGGATAAATATTTTTGAACCGAGGGGAGTGTTTCGAGGGGAAACAATGGCAACAATAATTTTTTTAAAAATTCACCATATATTTTGATTATACCATATATTTACTGAATATCATGTCTTTCATCACTACCTCCCTATACCCCCAACTAGACTGTGCAGGTAAGGTGACTTTTATACTGTTTACCTGGCCTGGTGCTTAGCATACAGTATCATACATGTTGGCTGAATTAATAAATAGATCTGTGTGGTAATCACTGGGTCCTCATCAGGAGTACCCCCAAGAAAATCAACTTGGCCAGTGTCCAAGGTGGAAATCTTTCATTTCCAACTCTAAGCCATGGAGGGCTGGGAGGCTTCTAGTAGGATTCCACCAAATTGTACATTCTTTTGACTCATTCCTTCCTCCAGCGAAGAAGGGTCACTGGATCAAGCAGGAAGGAAACCAGTACATGTTCCAATACATCAAGCTGATTTTAACTGTGCTGTGTCCAACTTACAGTGGGAAGTGCTCTGAAATATTTTGCAGAGACACTGCTATCTATTGCACTCTCCCTTTTAAGAAAGGAAACTGCCTTACCAGGCCCTGGCCTTCCAGCTCATAGTACCAGGCCCAAACACTTCTCCAGGTATTGCGTTCCAAGGGCTGAGAGAGCCTCTGATAATGTGCACACATCCCCTGGTGGAAAAGCATCTTTGGGCAAATTAGCACCAAGCTTGGCACAAAGCCTTAGGGATAGGTATGCATGAGAATGTTGTCTGAGGGGCATCTCATCAATAAATGGAATGCTTTTCAAAAGCCTTCTGTAAATCAGGTTGTGTGCTGGCCGTGGGCTCTGTGTGGAGCTAGGGAAAAGACAGTTGTGGTTTGGTCTAGGTCCTCAGAACTCGAGGTGGCTGTTAATATGTTTCATAGATATTTCTCGCACAGAGTAAGCTTACAACCTTGTCCTGAAGATATCTTTTTCTTTTTGTCTTTGAGACAGGGTCTGGTTATGCAGTTTAGGCTGGACTTTGTAGCCCAGGCTGGTCTCAAACTCACAAGATCCTCTTGCCTCAGTCTCTTAAGTACTGGGATTATAGGTGTGCACCATCATGCCTGGCTTTTGTCCTGAAGATTTCTGAGTTTTGGTTCAGAAAGAGAATCCTAATCAAAGTTCCCAGGGATAACAAGACTTTACTCCCTCCCTGGGGTGACCTTGGGAAATGGCAACTCCTATGACCATTCTCTGGTGTTGTGCTAGAAGGGTAGTCCTGCTTTTGACCAGCTTCCAATCCTCTAGCAATGAGGATGCCAGTGGGGGAGGTGCACCCCCCCCCCCCCCGCCCCAAGATACATAGGTCCCAGCTGGGTTCAAACAGACCACGGGCATTTGGGGGCAAGGTGAGTTTGGGTCTATAATCTGACTTTGCCACCTTACTAGCTATGCAACTTGGACAAATTAACTTGACCTTTTGAACTTGAAGTGTCTTGTCTGAAAAACATGGAAGACAGTGTCTTTCTTGCAGAAATATTATAAAGATTAAATATTAAATGTGCAATATTGGGCACAAAGTGGAGAAGAGTAAGTCACTACCTTTAGCCTCAGCTCCTTTCTGAATGAGAGAAGCTAGCTCCAAGCACTTGATAGGGGTGAAAGCTGGGCCTGGGGCACTGGACCTGGGGTTCTGCCCACCCCTTTCTGTAAAACAGGATGCACACTGTTTGAGTGCTGGCTGGAGGATTAAGTGAGCTGCTACAGCTGTAAAACTTGTGGCCCAGTGTCTGGCACATAAGATGTGCTCAGCAGATAGTAAACTTATCCTTTTTAGCCTGGACTTGTCTTCATGTTAACGAGGAATATTCTCTTCTCTCTAGCAGGATGAGGTTCTAGAGAGTGGTTCTGGTTATTTTTTAAATTAACTAGTTTATTTATTTGGGTGCTGGGGATCAAAGTCAGGACCTTACCAGGAGCTAAGCATGCTCCCTACCACTGAGTAACACCTGAATGACCCAATACACGCTTCTCATTTGCCCTGCTTTGTTGCTTGTCAAGTTCATCTCTAGTTCAGTTCTCCTTTTCAGCCCTGCTCATCTCACCCCTAACCCTTGACAATTTTTCAATCCCTGCAGCCAAGGGTTATTCTGCCATTTGACTTGGCCCAGCCAGCTTTGCTGTGATTAGGAATGGAAGACCCACCCTTGGCTCATCTGCTTGGTGTGGAGGTCCTACTGCTATTTGTCCTCCCTTTCCTCCCCTCTGTGTGTTTTTTTTAAATTATTTTTATTTTTTTGCAGGGGTAGAAAGTTGAATTTGCTTGTGCTAAATGTACAAGCGGCAGCTCCATAATGATGGGCTAGCCACTAGGCAGTGGGTTTTACTGTGGTTGTCAGAGATAAGCAAGACAAAGGACAGCCACTGGGAAATGCAAGGGAGGGTGCCCTAGTCAGGAGGCAGTGGGGTACCTGGGAGAAGGTGCCCTGGCAGGGGAGGGGAATGGTTTGGAGATGGTCTGTGGAATCAGCAGCCTCGGTCCAGATCTAGAGCTCTAGAGCTCCACATGCTTCTAAGTGAGAGTCATACTACTTTCCTGAAGGGACACAAACAATTTACAGCACATATTCTAACACATTTTGTCACTAGAATGTGACAAAGGGACTGCCTAATGCCTGGCCTCCATTGCTGTGTATTCTCCTTCATTTCACTTCCCACTCTGATATGTCCTTCTGGGGACAGGGACTCTGGCTCTGACTGCTGATACGGGATAAACGAGCTGATGTGTCCAGCTCCTGCATCCTTTTTGTCCTTGAAGGAGCAAAGTTCCTAAGTGCTAATGCTGCCTTGATGGAACACTTTGCCCAGTGCCAGGTCCCCTTGTACTGAGCTGCTGTCAATTAACTCAGCCTCTCTGAGGAGAAGGGCTCTCATCTAACATTGAAGAATATCCCCATTTTAGAACCTAGGGAGCCCCACCAGAACTTCTCAATGAGAAGAGTACAGTCATAGATACAGGATCCTTAATTATCTGTGGTCCTCTGTGACACTTATCAGAGGTGAGCAATGGCCAAGGCCTCTACCTGCAGTGGCCAAAAGGGTGCCACCTGTGATTAACCAGGAGCACCTACCCCCATTTTAATTTGGCAGCAATTTGGGAAATTACCACTGTAGGGCTATTGGGATTCTTGGTTGTGAAAGCAGGAAGTCTGGCTGCAGCTGAGATTGATTCGGCACCCGTTACCCTTCAGGATTCTCTTTGTCTCTTCCAAATGTTTCCTCCCAGCCTACTCTACTCTACCGGGAGGGCACCTGGCCTTGCCCTGTGTAGGAGAGCACTCAAGCCCTCTGTGTTTTGTGTTTTCCCTACAGGATAAAGATGCTACTGTGTCCCTGATGCAAATGGTGAAGAGCAGAGTGTTGTGAAGTTGGTTAAAACAATCTGGTGGATGTTCAATGAATCTTTGTTAACTCATGAATTTTTCTAGAAGAAAGGCTCTTAAATGATTTAATTACAAACTAATCAGCTGGGCGTGGTGGTGGACACCTGTAATCCCAGCACTTGGAGGCTGAGGCCGGAGGATCACTTTGAGTTTGAGGCTAGCCTGGGCTACCAAGTGAGTTCAAGGCCAGCCTGAGTTGCATAATGAAACCCTGTCTCAAAACAAAAACAAAAACAGAAACAAAAACAAAACAAAAACAAACCAAAGTAATCAAACTACTTTAGAACACAAATAACTATAAAAGACTCGGAGAATATATCACAAAATCACTGCGTAGTAAGTCCTGGGCTACAGATGTCTCTATGCCCCCTGATTAAACTGTAGCTGAGACATGATTTTTGGATTGGATTGGTGTGGCAGATATGGACTGCTTGCTGCTAACTACTGGATGCTGACAGAGCAGATGTGGCCTTACATCTCTGCAGACAGAAACTAACTGGCCACATGTGGGCTCTCAGTTGCCCCAAGTGCTAGGACCAAATCTAGAATACTGTTCCCAAATACTGTGTATGGCCACTGTCCCTGGTGTGGCCCAGCCTGCTCCTAGGGCAGGGGGCTCCAGATGGTGGCAGGGTCGCACCTGTAGTTATGGAACCAGTTGATGACGGTGCTGGTCTTCAAGTTGAGTTGAGTGGCGAGCTCCTCGATGGTTTTGGGGGATGGGTATGGCTTCTGCTGATAGGCTCGTTTCAGGGCTTCTTTCTCCTCGGGTGCCAGCACCACTCGGGGTTTCTTCAGCTGGTGTTGTGGCTGTGGGCTGGCGCCCTGGCTATAGTCGATGCCCACAGATGGGGGCTCACAGGGCTGGCTGTCGCTGACCGAGCTGTGCCTCCGCTTCATGTAGGCTGTGGAGGGGAGAGGGCAGGCTGAGGTCAGTACTATGCTGGGAAGTGCCACAAATCCCCTGGTGCCTGCAAGCACAATAGTGTTTTGGTGGCCTGCAGTTATTCTTTTTCTCTCTTTTTGCAGTACTGGGATTGAATGCAGAGCCTTTGCGCCAAGCTACGTATCTCCAGTCTTTCTTCTTTCCTTATTTTAAAACAGGGTCTTACCAAATCACTGAGCTGCGCAGGCTGGGCTTGAACTTGTGAGCCTTATTCCTCAGCCTCCTGGACTGCTGGGATTATAGGTATGTGCCACCATGCCTGGCTGTAAAGTTACATTTGCATCTCAAAATATTTGCACGTAGACACATGTGGTGGTGTATGCCTGTAGTTCCAGCCTTGGGAAGTGGAGGGACGAGGGCCAACAGTTCAAGGCCAGCAAGACCCTATCTTAAAAAGTCTCCTACAATGAAACCAAACACCTGCACTAGAACCGTTGTCCCAAGTGTATATACACTGAGGTCCTGCCCTTTTATAGTTATTTGTGTTCTAAAGTAGTTTGATTACTTTGGTTTCTTTGTTTTTGTTTTGTTTTTGTTTCTGTTTTTGTTTTTGTTTTGAGACACCTGTCAAACGAGGTGTCTGCTGTCCCTGCACAGCTTGACATTCAGTAGGGGGTACAGATGCGCAAGCACAGTGTTGTGCCATGGAGAGGCAGATGTGGGGTACAGTGGAAGGACCCTGGGGAAGAGCCAGGACACTAGGGTGGAGCCTGCGGGGGCTTCCAGGAAGAGAAGATGTGTAGAGTACATCTTTGCAGAGAGAGGAGTTAATCAGGAAACAGGCCATGAGGCAGAAGAGGGCAAGGGCTGCTCACTTGGACTGTGACATGTGTAGAAAGACACATATCTGTGTGCATGCATACACAGAGGATGGGCGGGTGGGAGAACCTATGGGACATGAAACTTGACCTTGACCCTGTGAGCTACAGGTGGAAATAAAAAAAGCTTGACCAAGGAGCTCAGAAGAATGGTCTGGGCCAGAAAGAGGAATTGGGAGGCACAAGAACAGAAAGTGTAACCATAGTCTTGACACAGATGAGAAGAAGGGCCACAATGAAATATGAGGATGCTTCCTGGGAGAAACCTTGAAAGCCACAGAGAGACAGGAGCAAAGCCAGGGGACAGTGATATTCCAATGGCCCGGGGCACCCCGCTGACCTTTAGGATCATGACCAGGGAAGAACTGAAGACTTGGGGATCTTGGTGAGCGGATTGTGGCATTATAGGAGCAAAAGCTGAATGGTTTACAGGGGCATGAATGACACTGAGTGGCCAGATCATTAAAGAATAGCAAGGGACAGGATGGCTTCTGGGGGTGGAGTGGAATCCAGGGCTAAGCACAGTATTTTTTGTTTTGTTTTTTCTTTTTTGTAGTATTGGGGATTGAACCCAGGGCCTCTACACTAAGCTACATTTCCAATCCTTTTTAAAGTTTATTTTTATTTTGAGGCAGGATCTAAGTTGCTAAGTCACCCAGGCTGGGCTCAAACTTGCAATCCTCCTGCCTCAGCTTCCCAGAGTGCTGGGATTACAGATGGGTGCCACCATTCCTACCTAAGTGTGGGTATTTAAAGGTGAGAGTGGGCAGAGACTGTTTCTAGGCTGAGGGGAGAGATGGCAGAGAAAGGGCTGGTGATGCTGGTGTACAAGCTGGTTCATAGAAAGAATGTGAGGATAGATCCTGAATGGGAATGGGGCAGGAGGATGGAGCCAGGGCTACCACCTCCCTGTCTTTTTTTTTTTTGTATTTTTGTATTTTTACCGGTACCAGGGATCGAACTCATGACTGCCTGCTTGCAAGGCAGGCGCTTATGCCGCTGAGCTAAATGCCCAGCCCCTCACCTCCCTGTCTTTATGACACAGGAAGGTGGGAATAACAAATCTGAGGAGAGGAGTCTTGGAGTCTAAGGGGAGGGCAGGTCAGGACTGGGGAACAGTACCAGGGCTCTGCAGAAGCTGGAGGTACCAAATGGAGGCAGCATCGAGCCAGGCAGTGTGGGAAATTGCCCAGCAGGACCAAGGAGTCCAAGAAGATGGGTAAAGAATGGTCAGGGCATGGATCTGGCTGGGGCATGCCTGGAAGGATGGGAAGGTGTGGGAGGGAGCAACATGTCCAGAGGATACACGTGTGGGTGTGGCGGGGGAAGGTGCCAAGGCAAGGACATATGGGCAGAGAGGGCAGGCAGGGTTAAGGCATGTGGACCAGGGTCTGCTGAGGTCTGGACACCATTAAGGGCCTAGGGTTGTCTTGGGAAGGTGGAATGAAGAGAGAGGCCAAGGCAGTACAGACAGGGAGCTGGTCACCTGAGTTTAGATCTGGGTGGTAGAGCAGTTTGAGACGTTAGACAGGTTCTGAGAGTACAACTCAGGGACTAGGGACTAGATAGTTCTGTCAAGTCTTCTGGGTGGGCAGAGGCAGGGGTTGATATGGGGGAAGTGGTTCTTGGCAATGCTATTGAGAAAGTGGAGAGGAGCAGGGGGCTGGCGGATGATGGAGGTGGGAAGGGGACATGATGAAGTTGAGCCTGCTGGGGACCACTTCCACACCAGGAGTAGTGGCAGGGTGGGGGTGGGGGTGGGTCCTGGCCTGTGGGAGACATGGTCTGCTTGGAGGTAAAGGAGGGACTGTAGGGGAAGACCTATGGCTCACCTGCCTTTTTCCTGTAGTCAGGGGTGGGCAGAGGTGGTAGACAAGGCTCACAGATGTAGGGGCTGTGACAAGGCTCACAGATGTAGGGGCTGGAAGAGTGCTGCTGCTTGGGGACCTAAGGACACAGGCAGACACTGTGGGTAGGGACTGCTGGAGCTCTGGTTCTAGGGTACACTACTGCTGCCCATCAGGCTTCAAGTCTAAAGCCATGGGCTGCTTTCACAGAGGAATGTTCCTCACTGCAATTCCTGATGGACTGAGCTGGGAATATGGTCTGAAATTCCTTACCAGCTCTTCTGAGAGATGGAAGATATGACACAGTGTGCTTAAATTCAAGGGGTACGAGGCACAAAGAACCACTAATGTCACTGCCAGCAGTTGCAGCCAATGCTAATCATCTAGTCCCGAGTCATGCTCTGGGAGGCTCTGGGCTATTATCCCAGAGGCTTTGTTAGGGGTCATGCAGTAGATAGATGAGTAGCTAGAGCTGCTGCCCTACTGATGGTGGTCAAGCCCCATCCTGATCATGTAAGCCACAGCATGAGAGTAGCTCTTGTCAGTGTCTTTGGGAGCCACAGAGAGCTGGTGGACACACATCTGGGTCCCTAATCAATGTCAGGGAGTAGACTAGACTGTGAGAGCCAATCCAGGGCTGCCAAGGCAAAGTATGGTGTGAGCGTGCACGGACATGTGCTGTTGAATGCACAGACAGATTGGTTCAAGGATCACATCATGATAGGAACCAAAAAACAGGTGGTAGAGTAGAGAAAAAGAGAAAGGAAAAGAGAAGGAAAAAAGTTTAGAGTTCACAGGAGAAATTGAAGTTTTATGGAAGAAAAGCATATACATCAGCCTGGATTTCCCCTTAGGGTTAGACTAGGGGCATGACTTATTTTGAAAAAAATAAAATTATTAAGTCTTATAGAGCTCTTATTAGACTGAGGATATTTTTTCTAATCCTTATGACCTGGAGAAGTTAGCATTTTTAATTCTTTTTCAGGTTAGCAGTTTTTTCTTTTTTTATCTTCAAGGGCGGGAATTTAGGCTACAGAATTACTTAACTCACTTGCCATTTTATTCTTAGGACTAAGAAATAGTTGAGAAGCTGAATCTCCCCAAGAGGAGGTCACCTGGGTTAGAGGGGACCTTGGAGGCTTGGCCCTGCAGAGACAGTGACTCTTTGTGACACAAGATGGCGCCCTGAACCCACGTGGGAGGAAGTGCAGAGGCTTGGAAGTCTCAGCAGATCTGTCTGGGGGACAGGAGTTCTCTTTTAATGGTCTAGGATATCAGAAGGGACGGGGCCACTCAGGAGGGGCTGGGGGCTCCCTGGCATTGAGAGCAGCCACCTCAAGTACACTGTGGCGGACACTGTCTGCCTAGGGGACTGTGATACTGTTTGAAACTCAGCAATAGATAGACTGGGTTCTTGGTGTCATTCTCTCTACTTCTGTTTATCCTTGAAACTTCCCATGATCTGTAGAAAAGTTAGGGAGTGACAAGGTACAAAGCCTCTGAAGCTCGTGACGCTTGCACAGAGCAGTCTAAGAAGCTTTAGTCTGTGTCAGGGCCTCAGTGCACTCATCTGGGACAGGCCAGAGCTGAACAGAGGACCTGGGATGGGTGGAAGCCTGGATCTATCACATGTGGGCAGCAGTGGTGCCCAAGGCCCAGTGTGGCAGGCCCTCAGCATATGTAAGAGCACTGCTTGGTGTCAGGCAGCCCTGTAGGGAATGCCTGCATCTATGCTAGCTATAGCAATGTGGATTAAGTGAGGTACTGACACAGTGCCTGGTAAATAGGAAGCTGGGCCAGCCATTCGAGTCTCTTATAAAAGGCTCAGGTCAGAGAGTAGGCAGTGGGGACTCCAGCTCTGAGGCACTGGCCCTTTCCATGCTTGAGTGAGAACAGTGTGCTTGGTTAGAGACACTCCCAGTGAATGAGGGGTCCATAAGCTGAGCTCTGACACACCAGCTCAGGTGTCCTGGGTTGGGGATAGGCAGGGCCTGCAGCCCACCTCTGATGGCCACTGTGCATTAGATGCTCTGAATGAACTGCTCAGGAAGGGTGGTCATGGCTGGCACCGAGCCTCTGCACCTAAGGGATTCAGTTGCCTGTAGGCTCACAGCATTGTGGGTGATGGGGGGACCAGAGGACCTGTGGGTGAACCAGCACTCAGGAACTATAAATCACGTGACCTAGCAATGTGGCTGTCCTCCACCAAGTGGCTTCCCCTTTGGACTTGTTTTTTTAAGACAGGGTCTCCTTACAGTCAGGCTGGGCTTGAATGTGCTTAGGTGGTCTCAAGCTCATAGTGATCCTTCTGCCTCAGCCTCTCTTGGATTACATGTGTACACCACTGTACCTGGCTACTCTTTTGGATTTTTTCCTGTGCTGTGGCTGACAGGGTATGGGGAGGACATCAGTTACATTTAAGACCACCATCTAGGTGTCTGTAGCTTCTCCCCCAACAAAACTGGCTCCCTAGAGACCAGAAACTAAAGGGAAGGGTGATCCCTTCTGGCAGCAATATGCTCTGCTGTTTTCCAGGCTGGGTGACCTTTGGTGTAGCCTCTAACCTCTCTGAACCCAAGTTTCCTGATCTGCTAAATGCATCTCTGTCTCTCTATTTTTGGTTTTTTTGAGACAAGGTCTCAACTATGTAGTCCAGCTGGCCTTAAACTTGAGGTCATCCTCTGGCCTCAGCCTCCTGAGTGCTTGGATTACAGGTATGCCACCATGCCTGGCTAACTGGATTTCTTTCATATGTACCTGTGCAATAGATGCTATGACACCCCATCCACCTGGCAGAGGATGACAAGCAAGTGAACCACCCAGCTATGCCTTCAGTACTAAGAGATCTTTCTGACCAGGAAGTGATAAATCTTCCCAGACCTCTAAGGTCCATGTCAGCTGATGACTGTGTGAGACCCTTTGTCCACCGCACAGTGCCGTGGTCAGGGATCAGTGTCCTTGCTGGCCTCGTGTGGAAGATATAAGGAAATGGCTGGTCTGTGAGCTTGGAGACACGATGCTGGCCGGAGGGTGGGCACTAACCTTTCTTTTCCATTCGCTTCATGTCCATCAGCTTCTCCACATTGTTGGGATCATTGAGCCACACCTGCATCCGGACAAAGGGCTCCCGGCCCTTCAGGCTGAGCTTATGCCAGGGCTTTGGGCGGGCAAGGAGGTCAGACACAGAGCCTTGGGTCAGCCCTAGGATTGTCTCCCCAAACAAACGCTGACCTGGGGGGGATACAGAATGGAGAAACAGTCACTGAGAAGCAGGGATCTGAGAAGGTAAATGCATGTCAAAGTTAAAAATTAGACACAGGTCTGTAGCCTGAGCACTCTGGGAGACTGAGACAGGAGGATCCCATGTTTGAGCCTTGTCTGAGCAACTCAGTTGCTTAGGAAGACCCTGTCGCCTAAACAAACAACCCAAACAAGAAACAAAATGCAATCATACATAGGACTGGAATGGCCCAGCATATGGCCAGTGAGAGCCTGTCTCAGAACAAACCTTTTGTAGAAAAAAAACTGTTTTTTTTTTCAGAGCTGGGAAATGAACCCAGGCCTCCTGCATGCTAGCCAGATACTCTTACCACTGAGCCATATCCCAGCTCTGAAATACTTCTTTAGCTGGACTTTCAGCTGCTCCACTGGTGAGGCAGGTGGCATTACATTCATGTCCTACATACACAAAACACAGGACCCTTTTGTTAGAAAAGCCTCCAGGCGCTGGCACTACCCTGCCTTGATACCACCTGCAGGTTTTCTCAGAGGCAGTTCCATCCCTAAGTGCAAGCCCAGAGCTAAAGAACGCATGGAGACCTTGCTGGGCAGCCCCTAACCAGAGGCTGTCTGTAGTCCTTTCATGATTAGCAAGGTTGCAGGTCTTGCTGGGAAAACGGGGCACCTGACCCAGGTACACAGCGGGAAAGAGCAGGCGACAGCTTCCCACGCTGTGGTTGAAAGGAGGCCATTTCTAATTCGAGCTGCTCCTGTAATCTACGCTGACTTTGCTGAGTGCAGCTCAGAGTGGATCAAACCCCTTTCGTGCGTACCCTTTCTTCTCCCAGGCAGGGCGAGCAGTCTGCTTCCTGGGCTGATGAGAGGTGGCACTGGGCTGTGAGGGGCACAGTAGTAGTGTCTGTAATGCTCATCAGGGGCTTAAAAGAAAGCCTCAATTCTCTGAGAGCCACTGTGCTGCAGGTGAAGAGGGCCATTGCTTTTAAAGCTGTAAGTTGGAATCTGTGGACCAAAAGACCTGAGAGACTTATTAAGTGGAGACAGAGACTGAGACCTGGAGGCCAGTGTTCGGGCCTCTGATGCATCCATAACATAGTGTCCTAAGGCACAGAGTGCCCACTTCCTGCAGAGCAGGGACCCTGTGGTCACTCCCTCCATGTGTGAATAAAAACATCCACCTGGTCTCTAAGAGAGAGAGCATATAGAAGAAAATATAAAATGTTGGCCTTTTAAGTCAAAGTTTACTTCATGGGGAGTTTATTTGTCTCCAATTTGAGACACTAATTTTTTTAGTAAGTTATTTTAACTTAAATTTACTGGGGCTGGGTGTGTAGCTCAGTGATCGGGTGCTTGCCTGCTGTGTGTAGGGCCCTGGTTCCTTCCTCAAGGTCAAAAAAAGAATTTAGTGATTTTGTAAATGTGTGGTTTCTTCATTTTTTATACTTTTAGTTTAGACTCTAAATGTCCCAAGTTCATTTCTGGTATTTTGTTATAGCTATTTCAAATAAATTCTGCCAATTCTAATTGGGCAAACTAGTCTCTTTTGATCCCAAAGAGCTTACTTTTTCAGGAGAGCTATGTGGATGAAGAGCTAGTTACTTTCTGGTGTCCCTGGTTGTGTGGAGAAAAAAGACAAAATCAAGTGGTTAATGTTGGAAAAGTACTTGTATTACTGAATACAAGTTTCCTAGCTACAGCTCTCAACTGTTTTTGGATCACTGATGTTTAAAAACCTGAAGAAAAGTATAGATCTTTAGCTCATAAAATTGGCACATACAGACTCTGCAGGTCATCACAAGGGACAGATCCACACACTCTCCACGAAGGTTGCAAGACCGCAGGTGGAGTGGGGAGGAAGCCTCGGCCTTGGCTCAACGTCATTCCTGCTACTTCAGTTGGGAGGCGGCCTTTCAATGCCCAGAACTCCACTATGGCCCTGTCCTACCTGCATAGTAAAGTCCATTTAGAGCAATCACAGGGCTTGCTTCCGACTGTTACGTTTGGGTGATCTGCCGTGGGGCTTTCCTACAAGTTCCTGCTCCACAAGGAGGCAATTGTTTGATGAGAAAAATCTTATGCTTGGACTGATTTGTACTTTATAGTGTCTAAAAATTCCACCGGCCAGGGACTGTGGCATTAGTTGTACATAACCAATACAAGACTCCAATTTGAGATACTACAAAGATGGCCATGCTGAGGAGGAGGTTTTAGTGTTTATCTACAATCTCATAACTGCAAACCTACAATGTAGGAGTTTTAAAATGAGAATTTCCTTCAGCTGGTTCTCAGTGTTGACATGAAATGATATTTCTTATCTGGGAGTGGGCAGCGTACTGTCTGTACCGGGCCTACTTCCTTGGACTCAAGCTGTGAGGCAGGGATGACCTGAGTCTAGGAATCCCTGCACATTTCAATAACATATGTCATTTGGGGTCATATTCCACAGTAACAACTACATTTTGAACATATGGCATTTGGGGTCATGTTCTACAGTAACAACTACATTTTCTTTCTTTTGTGTCTGTATGTGTGTGTGTCCCGGGGACTGAGCCCAGAGCCTTTGCACTGAGCTATATCCTCAGCCCCTTTTTAATTTTGAGACAGGGTCTTGCTAAATTGCCCAAACTGGACTCAAATTGAAATTCTCCTGCCTCAGTTTCCCAGAGTACTGGGATTATAAGTGTATGCAACCACATAATTTTCATTTTATGAATTAAAAATGTTCTCAGTTGATGCTGTTCATTGTGTGCTGATTTGGACAGTGGGCTACATGAAGTATACAGAAGGCAGGACTCAACCAGATTAAGTGGGCCAGACCCAGGCAGGCTGTGCGTCATCAGACAAACTTTGGGAACTCAGTTGTTCCCTTGTTGCTTCCTGGGAAGGACAACAGACACATCAGGCCCCCCGGAAGAGCTCCGGGTAATCCTCTCCACTCTGCAGGTGTCAGCATGTCTTGCAGCTGAGAATGCTGCTCCTCATGTTCATGTGTTCACTTTGGAAATAAACACATGAGGACTCGGGGACTGGCTGCTTTCCTTTGTTGTGTTCTGCCCAGGCTAGCCCTGTACTGCCAACACAGAACTGCAGGGATCACAGTGGTATGAAATGACAAAACACCACAATACTCCTAGAGCCACAACTGTTGTCTAGTGGCAACATAGTACATGTCAAGCAAATAGCCTGCTGTGACACTGTGGGAGGGTGACACACTGTTCTCTAGGGCTGCCCCGTCTTCATGAGGTGGATGGTCACCAGCTGCTAGAACTGCTGCTACTCACCACTCTGCCACAGGCATCATCACTCCAGCCTCCCAAAGGGGCTCAGAAGTACAAGCAATGGGCCTCACAGCTAGACATCGTAAGCAGAGCCAAGCTGTCCTGCCCAATGCTAGTACCCCCATGGGTCTAGGGTTCTGCTGTGTGTGTGTTGATACAGACAGTCTGCATGGGCCCCTGGTCTACTCTGGTCCACAGGCTATCTTCATGGGGGTCCCAAGCAGGGGCATGCACAGGTGTGGAGGGGCTGGGATGGACCTGCAGGGCTGTGGCTCCCTTATGGACCCTCAGTGTTCAGAACTGTAGGATGTTTCAATCTTTCTTTCTTTTCTTTTTTTTTTTTTTTTTGGTGCTGGGGATACAATCAGGGCCTTTTACATGCTCAACAAATGCTCTGTTGAGCTGCAGCCCAGTCCCAGGTGTGTTTTTTTGTAGTACTGAGGGTTAAAACCAGGGTCTTCTATTGAGCTACTGTATCCCTCAGTCCATCTTTTATTTTAAGACAGATATTTCACTAAGTCACTAAGTTGCCCAGACTGGGCTTGAACTTCTGATATTCTTATCTCAGGTTCCCAGACTGCTGGGATTATAGGCATGTACCAACACATCTTGGATATAAGAAGGGTCTGAAATGAGCTTACAAGAAGCCTGAAATGAGCAGGTGAATCCAACCTGTGGCCCATAGGTTCAACATGACAGTTTCAATAAAAAATACAAATAATAATGGAAGTTTTATTACTTTTACATATTAACTATGTCATATATTTTATCTGTGGCCTAACACAGTTCCCCTTCACTCAATGTGACCTAGGCAAGCCAGGTGTGTCCAATATGTGACCCATAGGATGGACGTGCCTGGAACTATTTTATTTTATTTTTTGGGGGAGTGGCATTGGGATTGAACTTGGGACCTCCACACTAAGCTATGTGCCAGTTTTTTAATTTTTTGTTTTGAGACAAGGTCTTCCTAAATTGCTCAGGCTGGGTTTGAACTTACGATCCTCTTGCCTCAGCCTCCCAAAGGAATTACAGGCATGTACCACCATGCCTGGCTTGGCTAGAACTTTAAACCTTTTGGCTGGCTCTGCCTGAAGCCTTTTATCGTGAAATCTCAAACAGGAAATGAGTTGCTGGCCTCTAATTTGGCAGGTGAGATGTACCTACCTAGGTTATTGTCCGTCAGCACCTCCTTGACCCTCTTGGTTATGCCATAAGTGTCCAGCTCCGGAGACATGGCTACAAGTTCTTGTATGCTGAGGGCTGAGTGTCCGGAGAGAGGCAGTGGGGTTGTGGGCTGAGAGTCCAAAGTTGGTGGGTCGCTGGGTTCTGGTGGCTTGCCATCCTTACCGGTCTCGATTGGGGGACAGGGCTGCTGGACCAACTCAGTCAAACTCTTTACAGATTCACTGGAACTCATTGGGGACTCGGGGGCAGGGCTGCAGCTGGCGGAGGTCTTTGGAGTGCTTTCTGTAATTAAACACATGAAAGTAGTTATCTTTTACCATGTACATCAACTCTCCTTCTTTAGGAAATACTAATTAAACAGCCTGTACCAAAGGAGACTGTGTGGTCTTCTATGGATCTTCATGCATTGTTTTATGGGTTTTTGACTGAGAGTAACCTCTAATTTTCTATGTTAAATGAGCAAAAATAACACCAACAGGAAGAAAAAAACCAACTAGAGACTTAAATAAAAGGTTTCTGGAGGCTTAATATCGGGGCACTCTACTAAAAAAAAATCTGTCATATTAATCATGTATTATCAATGTCATGATTTTATCTAAGGAAACTCTGTAATTCTAATAACTCACAAGGACCATGTCTATATTATAGCTTGAGTAATTATTTTGTTCCTATTTCCCAGAACAGAAAGAACAGGCAGATAATTTTCAGTGAGAGCTGATGTGTAGTCACTATAGTCATGAACCTGGAGCCTGAGCTGCTGCCCCAAGGGTGGCCTAGTGAGACTCAGGAGTCAGGGACCAGGATTGATTTCCACTGTGATGCCGCAAAGGTCCCCAGCACCCAATCCCAGCTGAAGATGAGGGAACCAAAAAGAAGGTGGATGCTTTCTCTGTACTGAGTCCTAGGGCTTGCTAGCACTGCTGATTTGGGATAGACAAGCTCTTTTTTCATCTATACTTTACTGTAAATGACACTGGAAGTGACTGACTAGTTGGGCCACCAGGTGTCCAGTAGGCTCCTTGTTTCAGAAGTACCTTTGCTTGCTGGGGTCACTGCAGGTGCACAGTAGGAAATGTCACCCTGTTTTCTGTTGGTGAGCATTACTTGTCCAGTCTTCAGCATCCTTACAGAACCATAAGATACCCTTAAGTCTGGTTTTGAGGTATTTCTGACTATTTCTTCATTGCCAGTACTAGAGAAAGACTGTCCAGGAGGATAATGTGTAGTGACCTGTTGCTGAGTTCTCATCCACAAGACCAGTGTGCCTGTGATTCAGCTCAGAGCCAGGCACAATCTCTTCCTGTTCCCACTGAGGCTGACATGTGGTGAGACCTCACAAGCCATGCATGAGGGTCAGGTGTGGTAATGTGGGTTCCCGAGAGCTAGGTTCTACCTGCATAGGGATGACAAGTCACAGAGGGCTGGGCCTTTGGGGTTATCTCTTGCTTGCTTCTCCCTCATATCCTGGCGGGTTCCAATTGGTACACTAGTAGGTGCTCCAAAATACTGTTACCCAGCTAAAGGGAAAAATGTAACAGTAGAGAAGAATTTAATTTCCATTTCATATGTATCCAAGTGTGCTTTACTGGCAGTTTCAGACTCAGGCTAAACCTATTCTGAACCACAAACTGTGGGAGATATATTCCAAATACAAGAAATATTTTGTATGAACAATGAGAAAGAGCAAAAACCCAAATAAAACCACTGCAGTTCAACTACTCAATAAACCCATTTATTGTCTTGCACTGGTACAAAGTCCCACCATTGCACAGAGCTGTGTCCTCAGCTTGGAAAATCAGGTTAAAAAAAACCAGCCAGACTGGTGTACAAGAGATGTAAAAGAGACAGACATGAAAGGCAGAAATGGTCCGTATCAATCTTTAAGGCAATATGAATCCTACAAATCGGATTTCTTCTCTCTGCTCACCCCCAGGTCAACAGACAACTGGATATAAAACCCAGCAAATGTTGTTTTTGTATCTGAAGCAGCAAAGGAATTATACTGTAAATTTGCCCTGATTCACCCATGCGAGGGACCAATTTGGCAGCTCATCCATCTTGCTCACCATCTACTGTCAAGGATGACATGAATTCCCCACAAGATAAACAGATTTCTTCTCAGGTTTGTGTCCTTTAACCCACAACAAGGTCAAAATCATGGCTGCCTGGCTAATAAACCACATGGTGCCGGCTGCTTTTTTGCCTCCCTGTTTCATTCTGCATGCCCGTGTGAGCAGATCTCACCAAACAGCAGACTGGCTACAAGTCTTGTCTCCCAGGCATTGTGTGCCCACTTCTCATATGTCTTTTAGTTATGAAGAGCTGGGGGAGAACTTACTAGAGGAGCCCCCAACTGTGACCACAGACAAAGAGAAAACCTAGACGATTAAAACCCTGTCTCGGCCCTGAACTGTCTAGGAAGCGTTGAAGTGACACACTGTGGCAAGTTGCTGGGGCAGCCTAGTGTCTGGGTGCTTCCTAGGAGGCAGTGTATTAATGGATCGACGCAGGGACACAGAGATGCTGCCCTGATCTCAGGTCCAGTGTGCAGAATCACCTGTGCTTTTGGGCTAGGCACAGACATATGACTTGGCAAAGGGACCTAATGAAAGTACAGTGAATCCAGTACTTGGGACATGGCACTGGAGACAGTTCTTTAAAGAGAACTAGGGGTGGATGTGGGTATGCACGCCCATAATCTCAACACTCTGGGAGGCTGAGGCAGGAGGACTGCAACTATGAGCCCAGCCTGGGCAACTTAGTGACTTACTGGGACCCTATCCCAAACTATATAAAAGAACTGAGATTATGCTCGGTGTGAAGCCCAGCGCTCAATCCCTTTTACCCCAAAAGAAAAGAGCTTTCCAGGAACCACTGCAGCCCTGGCGGTAGGATTACCATGATCAAACCACACCTGTCAGGAAGTCCTGTCCAGGGCAGGGAGGACAATACTGGCCTACATGACTCTTGACAAATAAGAAATGTAGTAGTCAACAAGAGGAAGCATTATATTTGCTTTCCTGAAAAAAGCAGGTGGTGCCCTCTGATCAAAGCAATTCATGTAACTGAAAATACTAATTACAAACAAAAAACCAGGGAGTTATCTGGAGAAGGGGACACCTCCATTAGCCTGCAGCACTAACTTCAATGACTGCAGGCTTCCTGGATCACCTGGTCTCAAGTGACAGCTGTGGACAGGCTCACCATGAGGAGCCAATCTGCCACGTGGCTGCCGCTAAGTAAACAGTGCGAATTTAATTTTTTCTTTATTTTTGAGTAGGTATTAAATTGCATTGAGAAGTACTGAATGTATTGTTTAATAGAAAGATCTCCACTCCACAAAAATACCTTGTGATTTCTTGCTATTTTGTCCACAGTATCCAACATGTGAGTGAGACATTGGCCATAGACTCCACACACCACAACTTTCAGGTACATTTTATGCAATGTAGAAAGGCTAAGACTGGGGGGACAGAAGGTACCAGTGGTTGCCAAGCATAAACCACAGAGACGGTCAACAAAGTAGCATGAGGGAATACTTGAGGGATGATGGAATTACTCTATCACGACCAAAATTCATGTAACACAATATTTTATTGCCGTTATTTTTGAGACAGAGTCTTGTTACCTAGTTCTGGTTGCTCTGAACTTACTATGTAGCCCAGGATGTACTCAAATTTGTGGCAATCCTCCTGCATGCTGGGATTACAGGTGTACCCCACTCCACCCAATGCTTAACACAATTTTTGAAAAAAGATGGAAGCTGGGTGTGGTAGTATACCCCTCCTAGAATGCCTGGAGGCTGAAGCAAAATTGCAAGTTTAAACCCTGCCTGGGCAACTTTGTTGGGACTTTTTTCCAGACAGGGTCTCACTATGTAGTTCAGGCTGGCCTTGAATTCTCAGTGATCCTCTTGCCTCAGCCTACCAAGTGCTGGGATTACAGCTGTGTGCCACCATGGGTGGCATAGGACTCTTTCAAAATACAAAAAGGCTGGAGATGTAGCTTGGTGTAAAGGTCCTAGGTTCAATTCCCAGTACTGAAAAAAGAAATGAATGAATGGATAAAAGAAAGAGGAAGAGCCAGTCAGCCAGCCTTGGGGTGAGGCGGTGGGGTGAGGCGGTATATGGTAGATTTGCAACATGAATGAAACATCATCGGGGGAGTAACCCAGGGGGAGGCTGTAGGGCCTTGGAATTGGCTCTAAGGAGCCCGTGTTTGGATCCTGGTGCTGGGAGAGTTGGGCACAGGTCCATCTGAAGAGGTGATGCCTTCACCCTGGTATTGCTTCTATCCTATAGACTGCTGGGCATACAGTGTTTATCGAGGCCCTGTCTAAAATAGTAAAAAATGGCAAATGGTGTCCATTCCTGGAAGATGGGGGATCCAAACTGTGGCATGTTCACTGAACAGCCACATGCTATCAACAACAGCAAGAATATGAGAACCAGAGGTATCTGTGTCAGCATCAAAGGCAGAGAGGAGCCCAAAAAGCAAGGTATATTCAGCAGTGGGCAGGCTTGCGCACACTAGTGTGCATGTGGCTGCTCAGGTAAGTGGTAAAGTTAGCAGGTCAGCACAGAAGCAAAAAGTAGCCAATTCAAGACAGACAGTAGTTTACTTCTAATAGGACTGAAGTTAGAGGGGGCACAAACTCTACCTTTTTTTTTGGTGGTGCTGGGGATTGAACCCAGGAGTTCTTTACCTCTAAGATGTATCCTCATCACTTTTTATTTTTCATTTTGAGACAAGGTCTCAGTAAGTGGCCCATGGTGGCTTTAAGCTTGTGATCCTCTTGCCTCAGCCTCCCAAATAACTCATTACAGGTATAACCCACCTCACTCAGCTCAACTCTATCTTTGATAAATGCCTTATTTTTTTTAAAAGTATAGTCATGACCCAAAGTTAAAGTTAAAGCTGGGTGACAGGGATGTGGATACTTAGTGCATTATCCTACCATTTGTATTAGGTTTCAAGTATTATAGACCTCACTTTCAACAGTAAGAGGCTGAGTAGAAGGATCACAAGTTCAAGTCCAGCATGGGCAACTTAGTGAGACTCTCTCTCAAGATAAAAAATAAAAACAGCTCAGTGTGAAGGGCCTGAGTTCAACTCTCAGGATTGGAAAAAAAAAAAAAAAGCCAGCAGTAAGAAAAGTTCACTGTTCCATTAGGACAGAACATTATTAATATGGCAGCAGGTGTTGAAGGGGCTATTGCAGAGTCCAAGTGAGAGGTAGTGGGGAACTGGGAGAGGACAGGGGACCACAATGATGAGAGATC